CAACTTAATTTAAAAGTTTGTCCAAAGTAATGGACAATTCACTTTCTTTGAACATTTTTGACAAGAAGTAAAAACAAAGTTTGATAGAGAAATCGACACATTTCATCAAGACATTTTTAGAAGAACTAAAAAGAACTACAAGGCTGCTAAAACAGTTAGTATCATAGTGGGGCTATTTGTGGTTTCCTGGTTTCCAAATCTTATCACTGGTTTCGCGCACTATTTCAGCAACAAAGTGTCCTATAACTCAGCCTACTACTCCGTGTAGATATTTGTTGAATCAGTGGCGTTTACCTCATCTGCATTCAACCCATGGGTGTATTGTTTGCGAAACAACGAGTTCTATGAAGCATTATCACGCACATTTCGATTTCTTAAAAGACTATATTTGAGGAACGACACCGTCTTTGGTTCAAAGACTGCAGGGACCTGACTGTATATATTCATAACACACAATAATTGTTTTCAGGCTATCCGCTGAAAAAAAGAAACATCTAGAGTAGCTTGGTAAGATAGTTGCTCGGTAAATAATTATTTTCAAGTTTAGGGAAACAGCTGGTCACACTGAATTAAGTTGTTGTCAAAACTATAAAAGCTTTTCACTTGGGAATGAATATTAATTTCTTAAACCATTAGGCTTGTCAATCATTTATTACCTAAGTTATAAGTTATTTTTTTTCGGCAAAGGTTTAGTATTTAACTTGGTAATTGGGTAGAATTGACCTTTGTTTTTCAGTGGAATTTTTCAGTGGACGATTTTGTTTTACAGAGGTTGTTTTTCAGAGACTTTCGATGATATTTCCTCGGGGTGTTGAAGCAATGGCCATTGGCCACGAAACTAATCCAAGTAATTGCAATAAATTATGTTCCAAAATCAGAAATAGGAAAATAGTATGAGAAAAACTTATCAGCGATCCAGACGAAATTTCGTTTAAGTTGATATTATACGAAGTTTTCTGAACTTGGCAGTGTTTACAAAGAATTTTATAGCAAGTAATTGGAGAGTTATCAACTGAATCTTTATCGTAAATGCTCATGGTTGAACAACACGTGCCAGAAAATTACATGAAAAATTTATTGTAACATGGGCTTACTTAGTCTAGATAAATCGTTTAATTTTTTAAAGTTCTTGAAATCCAGCAAATTCAAAAGAAACAAGTTTAATCCGAGTGCCATATGATAAACTATCTACTAACCTCGCTAGCTCGAGTTGTACTGAGGAATCTTGGCTCTCGGTCGTCTCAGTACGGACCTCGCTGTGCTCGGTCGGCTCTGCCATTACCTTGGGCCAATAATCCTCAGTACGGCCCTCGCGCTCGGTGGGTAAGAAATCAATCTTCTTGCATCTATTTTGTATACGTTAGGCAAAAAGACTTTCTCTTGACAAACAGATAATGTTGCATTCATGGAATAAATAAAGGGAACTGAGTAAACAAAATGATGTGTTTGCCGTTTGAACAATTGCCGCATTTAAATTATTTATAGCTACACCAGAAGAATATTGATATGCACAGGCTCAATGTGATCCCGTTCCTTTCCGTTTTTAGTCAGAATTCTGGAAACATTTCTGTGATCTTACCTCGTTAATCAATGTGGATTTTTCCAGTGGGGCCAAATTTACACTGACGTTAAAAGGGCAAGTAGTCGGGTAAGTAAAATTGTAACTGTAAAGTTGTTTGTCTGCGCTCTTCAAGACCAGTAAAAAGCGAGTTTGAGAAAAAAGAAAGAGAGCAGAATCTTCATGAAAACATGACTTGTAGTTGATTTTATCAATTGATCTTGTAAATATTTATGATACGACATACATAGTTTACCAGCATTAACGAAGGCACTGCAAGAAGAGAAGGAAAGACTTGATAGACCTTTAGAACAACATGAATGTCTAAGAACTACTAAAGAGATCATACAGAGGCTAATATAAATACAGCGCGCTTCTTCATTTTAAGCTTTCGTCTTCATGATCTTCTAATTGGCAGTCTGGTACACTCGTGTAGCTTCAAATTCTATAGACTAGAATTTTTCCATGACGGGAAGGAATTGTAGAACAAACATCACATTTGTTATTTCTCACTTGAGTGGGACGTCATGTTTTCATTCGACATGGGGTAGTTTTGTCACCTTGCTTGCAAATACTGGCCATTTGTATTACAATTGACCGTTGTTGAATGTTTTGACGGGCGAAATGATTATTCAGTAACAACATTCGACATATTATTCGACTTGCAATATGAATAAATTAGTCATGGCGTGCAGACATATTTTTGCAGTCGTGCTTCTATTGACTATTTTCAGCGTTTTACTTGGCCAATTTACTTCAATTACACCTGAATTCGATCGCTCTACAGTTACACTCTTCATTGGGAAGGAAATATCTGCTCCACATACGTTCAACTGTAAGTCAAAGCCTTCGAAATGCACACCTTGCGAATTGAATTTGAAGCTTCACGCGTTGTTGCGGTTCATCAAGCTTGGCCAATTTTGTCTGTGCATTCTTCTATCTGGCGATATTGCCGTCAATCCAGGGCCTAATAATCTTCAACCACCTGCAGGCTTCAGAGGTTTATCAGTCTGCCACTGGAACATCCAACGACTGACTGACACCAAATTGGAAGAACTATCGCTAATGCTCACCTCGAACAACAACAGTGCTGCTAAACTCGACGTCTTAATTCTCACTGAGACGTTCGGATCAAGTAAAATTCCAGACAGCTATTACATGATACCCGGCTACACATTACACAGAAAAGATCGAATCGGGAAGAAAGGTGGCGGCATATTTGCGTATGTAAATGAGAAAGTTATGGCTTTACGTCGAAGAGATTTGGAACTGGATGATCTTGAAACTCTCTGGCTTCAAATTTGTCCTCATAAATCAAAGAGACCGATTTTGATATCTGGTGTTTACCGTCCACCTTCAGCCAACAAAGATTATAATGAGAGCTTGGGTAAAAATATTGAAAATGCCCATCTCCAAAACAATGAATTGATTATTCTGGGAGACTTTAATTTGGATTATATTGATTTCAACTGTTATTCAAAACATTGTCTCGCAAAGGCACTGAACAGTCTTGGACTAACGCAGATGGTAAATGGGGTAACAAGACCTGCCTCTGATGCGTGCTTAGACCATATTTATTCTAGTCATCCTGCTAGAATTAGAGAAGTATCCATAGGTAAATCTGGACTTTCCGATCACCTTCCGGTCACCATCTTGAGGTGCTACAAAACCATGGATGCACAACGTAAACAACATTCCAAAATCAAATACAGAAATATCGACAAAATCAACAAAGAGTGCTTTCTGCGAGACCTAAGAGAAGCCCCTTGGGATATCTCCTTTGTTTTTCGAGATGCCGATGACATTGTTGAATCTTGGTACAAAATCTTTAATGACATTCTTGATAATCACGCACCTTTAAAGTCCAAGAGTGTGAAGAAAATCAATCAGCCAAAATGGTTCACTAATGATCTATACAACGAAATAAATAAACGCGATAATCTTCTAAAGAGGGCCAGGAGAACACAAAATAAGCAAGATTGGTCTGCTTTTAAACTGGTTAAAAACAAAGTGACGAGGAAACTAAGAAATGCGAAGGAACAGTACTTTAAAACTCAGTTCAGTAAAAATCAAAAATGTCCAAAGAAACTTTGGTCTTTAATTAAAGACCTATCTAAAGATACAAAGAATAACGACGACTCCGTCCCTATTGCTGACGAAAACAACAACTTGATAAAGGATGACCATTCAATCGCTGAACGCTTTAACCGCGTTGATGTATATAAACGTCTCATAAAGTCGACACCTGTACTTCATTATGATGCTCTTCCTGGTCCACCAGACAAATCTAACAGTCAAATTGAAAATCTTATTCCGCAAATAACTCCTAGTGAGGTTAACGATTATCTTCTAAGTATACCTACACACAAAGCCACGGGAATCGATGGGCTTGGTGCCAGAGTTCTAAGGATTGCAGCTCCTGAAATATCATGCTCCATAGCTAAAATTATAAATCACTGTATTGAAACTTGTACATTTCCCTCACAATGGAAAATAGCAAAGGTTAAACCTCTTTTCAAGAATCAAGGAAACAAGCAAGATATTCAAAACTATCGTCCTATTAGCATTTTGCCTATTCTTTCTAAAGTCTTTGAAAGACACATCTTCAATGCTGTGAACACCTACTTAACAGAAAATTCACTTTTATACCGCTTCCAATCAGGGTTCCGTAAAAACCACTCCACGGATACTGCTTTGTTGTTTCTTCTGGACCAAGTCCTTCTTGACCTTGATAAGAACAACGTCAGCGGCTTAGTTTTTGTGGACTATAGCAAGGCATTCGACTTGATCAATCATGACATTCTCCTGGTAAAGTTAAGATCATATAGATTTCCAGATAATGTTGTAAAGCTATTGCAGAGCTATCTACTCAATCGCAAACAGTGTGTTACTGTAAATAACTCGACTTCGTCACAACTTACGCTAACCAATGGAGTTCCTCAAGGTAGCATATTAGGACCTCTACTGTTTTTAATTTTCGTCAATGATCTTCCCGAAGCTGTTGGATCGGACTCAACTATTCATGCTTACGCGGATGACACCACATTTAAAGCCAGCGCTAATATCGATAATGCACCTTTGGAATTGGAACGACGTCTTCAAGAATACATGGATAAATTAAGTAAATGGTCTAGCGAAAATGGGATGGTCCTAAACGCCGTTAAAACCAATGCATTACTTATCACCGGAAAGAGGCTACATTCATCATTAGCGGATGGCAATCACCTGTCAATAACCCTTGATGGGGCCGAAATAGAACAAGTAACTTCTTATAAATTGCTTGGTGTAACACTCGATCAAGATCTTACATTTAGCGACCACATTTCTAGTCTAAAGGCCAAGCTTTCTCAGCGTATTGGTTTATTGAAGAAGATAAAGAGATACCTTCCAATAAAAGAAAGACTCTTATACTATAACGCCTTGATTAAACCCGTCCTTATGTATGGGAGCATGGTTTGGAATATCTGCGACGCTAAAGAACTCCACTGTCTCCTAAGGTTACAGAAAAGGGCTGCCCGAGTAATTCTTGGAGTTGACTCTTATTCTAGAAGTGTTATAAACTTTAGTAAACTAGGCTGGTTGCCTTTTTTTGATGAAATCAAACTAAATAAGTGTACAATGATTTTTAAGAGCCTTAAAGGCGATGTTCCGATTTACATCAGAGACTTGCTCAAGACGAACAGTTCTGTACACAATAGGTCTACTAGACATGGCAATTTAAATTTAGTGTGTCCCAAATACCTAAGAAATAACGATGGTGGCAAGGCATTCAGTGTTGACGCAGTTAAGTTATGGAACAGCCTTCCCCATAATATCAAAAATAAGCCTAGTATAAAACTATTCAAAACAGCTGTGAAAAAGTATTTTATAAGCTCATATAGAAACCTGGACAACTTTGAAACAATATTAAGCAATAGCACATTATCTAATTTTAATTTTTTATAAATTAATTTTATCATTCTGAATATTTTTAATATATCCTGCTATTTCTATCATAGAATTTTGTAATTATTTGTATATTTATCTATTTATTAGTATTATTTTGTAATGCTGTATAATCTAGTTAGAGGGCCACAGGTTTGTCAGCTTTTCAGCTGTTACGTGTCCCCCTCTATAAATAAAGTCCTTATTATTATTATTATTATTGCGTCCTTCCAAAAATTTAGTTAATGAGAAATTTGAGAGGTTGCCAGTTAACACTGTTGCGAGAACGACAGCATAGCAACTGAAGGTTGAAAATGATTCACCACTCAGGCACTGCAGTTGAAAACAGGCCACCGGTGTTTCCTAAATAATTAATTATGTTCTTCGATGGTGATTTTTATCAGTTGGACTCAACAATATGTGAAATCTATTAAAAGTGTACTAAATCTATGAACCCTTTTTGTCATCTTATATTAGAGGATTCACGCCAAGTTCGCATGCAGTCCTGTGAAAGACGCCGTTGAAATATGAACAGCATCAGTGAAGAGTTTAACCAAGAAGAAAGGATCATTTTAGCAGCCTGGTTCAGTGTCACAGGTCTGGTGGCCGTAATTGGCAACACCGTTGTCTTATGGTTGATCGCCAGAAATCATTCCTTCAGAATAATTTCGAATTTTTTCATTGCTTCATTGGCTGTGGCGGACTTGTCGGTAGGACTTGTTATAAACCCTGTATGGGCAACGGCCAGGTGCATCAATTATGACGAAGACAGTTATCTGAAAACTTACGGTAAAGCTATTGATTATCTGTGGATACACACCACTGTAGCTACAACGTTCAACCTATGCTGCATTAGTCTGGACAGGTATATTGCCATCATTCATCCGCTCCGCTACCAAGAGCTTCTTACTAACACGAGAAGTTATCTCATCATAGCTTCTGTATGGGTCTTGTCGTTTCTTCTCCCCTGTTCAAGGTTTTTTGTGAGAGATGATTCTATTGAGTTGTGGTTGTCTTTTACAATCATAACAGTGTTAATTCCTATGATCGTCATTGTGTTCTGCTCCATTCGAATATTGAAAGCCTCTGCGACGCAGTCCAGGAGAATAAATGTTGTCACTTTACAGAATCAAGAATCCGTAAACAGACGAAAACAGAACTTAAAAGCTGCTAAAACAGTTAGTATTGTGGTGGGGCTATTCGTTGTTTGCTGGCTGCCGAGTCTAATGACTTCTTTCACTCAATATTTGAGCAAAAATATGGTTTACTCCACCATGTATCATAAGGTTTGGACTATTGTCGAGGCGGTTGCTTTTACTTCCGCGGCAATCGACCCGTGGGTTTATTGTTTGCGAAACAGCAAATTCTATGAAGCATTTAATCGCACTTTTCGAGTACGCGGAAGACAAATTATAGAACAAACTTCCGCTCGTCGTTAAACCAAGAGAAATCATTACGTAAACGAATAATAGTAACCAAAAACATGTTGATTTTTAATGGAAGAAAATGTTTGAGATCTAATATTCTGATGTGCACACTGTCGTATTTTCCATAAACGTCGAACAGTTGACAGTTTCAGATAAGACACAAAAAATTATAATAACAAATAAAGCCAACTCAAACCAGAACCAGAAATTGCAAATTAAAACTTTTGTAAAGAGTGCTATAGAAAACACTTGTGTTTTAAATATAATTAAACGAATTTAATTTTGCATGTAAAATTTTCATTGGGAACAAAAGGAGGTCGATTTTTGCCTTCAAATTTTGACTTCTACAAGCATATGGCTTTTTATTCTCCAGAAAATTGTAAACTAAGAGGCTTCAATGCATTTAATGATATGCAGTAATAAATTTCTAAAGGATTAAGGCCAGCTATTCCTATGAATATAGACCAATTTATAATCACTTGGGCGCCGGTTGTTTTTTTAAAGTTCCCTCACTTCACACGCAGAGAGGTGTCATCTCAAGAACTCACACGTAGGGTTGATTGACAACACATGTATTTAAGGCATATTAAATTCTTCATTCAGGTGCAGCGAAAATGCACTGAATAATAATCAGGGCGCTTTATACATTGTTAAAAATCTTGTGAGCAAAATATTTCTTGCGTATTAAGAAGACAAGAATGCTTCTCAATTGAGAATAATGCAGAAATGTTTAAGAGCACCTGATTCTGTCGACGGACGTTGAGAAAATACACCAGATTCCTCCCCTCACTGGCAGTTATAATTTTCCAAATTCTCCCTCCCATCCAAATACTAATATCAAAAATATATGTAGGTAATGGCTCTTATTATATACAAAAGAATTTTGAATGATAAAAGTTTGACACAGAGCAGAACAGCAAGTTCCTTTTAAAATTGAATGACAACTGAGCTTTTTATGAATAAAATTTTAGCTCTAAATACATGTTTTATACATTCTGCCTATAAATTATGAATAATTGACCCCATCAGAAAACCGTAGCCTGCGTTGCCAGGCTCCTAATGAAGGGAAGAGGACTGTGAAATTCATTTGATTACGTGTATAAGTATGAATTTTTTAATCTATGTCCTTAAAAAATGTTTTGACCTAGCAAGGAACTTAAGGGAAAAATCCTTATAACGACATGTAGCTATCTGAGACTGAATGCAACTCACCTGTAATTCGCTCTCTCAAACGAATCATGTTGAATAACTGCCAAAAATACTCAAACACATCGCCTTACACCAGTTGTTCTTTTTGCTCTTTTGTGCATTAAGCAGTGAGACTCATACCACTAAATACAGTTATAGAGTGAAAAAGTTACTCTCTTTGGACAAAATCTTTTATCTTTTCATTCACATTGCGTTATCTGTAACGTCAATTTTATGTTAGACAACACTTTTCAATAATCTAGTGCAATAAATATATACGATTTGTTCGATGTATATATGCTCGTTTCACTTACAATGTATTATGCATCAGAATAAGAAACTATGACGCTGAAAACCGGGACTCCAGCACCTTCAAACAATGCGCGTTTCAATCTACAGCTTTCAAGAACACACATTGTTAACGAATTGGGTTTTAAACTGAACGCCGCACTCGAATCGCGAAAAATTTATAAACGCCGCGGCGTTTAATCGAATAAACACGGTATTAGGCAACACTTTTCAGTGATCTAGTGCAATACAATTTGTTTAACCGTCGTATTTATTGTTTTTTCACGTACCTCGAACCTAAAACGCCGCTTTCATGTATATTTTCCAAGATATGAATCATACATGCCTACCATTCTTTGTTTCTTAGTGCATCCCAGTCACCAATCTTCTTCCAAATAAATTAAAAACGAGAGAACATACGCTTTAAAAGTCAAGAAGGCCGAAAGAACGTTTTCTTTCTGTTTTTGAAGTCAAAATTAATCACTAATTCAGCAAGGGAAATTTTTTTCTCTTTCACCTTAGAACGGCCAAAAGACAGAGGTCTCAATAAAAGCCGGTAACCGTCGATCTGCCGCCGCCTACAGGACTTCTTACCGCCATCTGTTTCGCCTGTGAGCAGGCTCTCCAGTTTGGGTTTCACCTTACGACTTTACTGGGCATGGCTGCCAGTTACATCGTCAGCAGCAGCTTATTTATTAAACAGTTGTCGAAACCCTTTATTTAAAAAACTGTCTGAAAACGTACGCAGTTGATCCTGATCAAAGGGAATCAAAGAAAATTATATGCAAGTGTTCGAAATTAAATCAAACGGACTCATCCTAAACAGACGCAAGCGTCCAAAGTCAGATGAATCGTCCTATTCTTTAACGTGCTACAAAGTGGACACTAGGATGGATGATATACATGTCATTCAAGATCACCTAAATCCAAGATGGCGTCTAGTTATCGATCGAGATGCATGTGTTGCGTTTTGGAAACAAACTTAACGAGGAAGTTTGCTGCGGATTTATCTTTGCAAACCTTTTTAATTCACTATATCTCTTGGTAAGGTTATGATGAAACGTTCTAGTCACCAATTTGGTGACTTATCTTCAGGATTTGGTCGCCAAAGTGAAAAATTCACGCCCTGTTATTAATTAATAATTAAGCATTGTTGCACTTGTCAGGTGGCTTTCGTTACTGCTTATTTCTATCGATTTGTTGTTGATATCTCGAAAGAGAAAACAGATTAAATGGGTTTATATTTTATGGCAACGCTTTAGAGTGACTTGAGCATCGATATCGCGCGTGTCAGATCTAGAGACTGTGTGCAGTCCTTGTTGCTGTAAGTAGCGACGAAGAACCTCTGAGACACCTTTAATGTAGGGCAGAAACACTGGAAATTTGAAATCTTGCGCGAGCTCTTCATTTGTTGTTGAGCTTTTTGTCGTTGGGATCTTTCGTACAAATGTGGGCGGATATCTGCTAGAAACAAGAAGTTATGGACCGCACGGTGCACTGAGTCGAGAAAGATAACACCATTCCCTTTTATTGATACCGACCCACACTGATCAATATTTAGCCAATGATTCACATCACCACCAGTCAGTAAAACAGGATATAGCTTAGCGCCTGTAAGACTGGGCCTAACAGCTCATTTCAAAACCATCAACTATCTCTTAAGGAGGCTCCATAGGGTTTTTGTTCAATGTTGGCGCGCGCCAGCCTAATATTTTTCTAGAAAATGTTTATGTTTTCGCCTTTCATGGTCACTAAAAGCCATCAAAAGGCAATGAGTAAGGTTCGGACTATCGTTTGCTGTCGTAGATATTGTCAAAATGACTTTCGTTATTAAGCGATGGCTCCACGAAGAGAGGCGCTCGCCAGCGATAATTTGGCTTTACCTTTGATTTTCTTCAATTTGCCTCGGTGAAATCTCTAAAAATATTCTCAATTTGTGAAAATTGTCCTGCCGATCCCTTAAAAGCCGAAAAAAATAGGAGTTACAAGGGCAGTTTCCTCGCTATTTGCAATTTGTGTTTTCTTCCTCTATCTTAAATTTGAGCTTATGGAATCATAATCAACATGTACAGGCACCAGGAAGGGCAAAAATATGTTTAACGGTCCAGCAAATCTTAGGAAATTCCACTGAGGAAACGCGATAAATCTTACTCGAAAGTAAGAAGTAGAAGGTTGAAATCATCACCTGTATTGCTATAAATAGTTCAGCGAAAAGGAAATATAATGTCATGTTCCAAAGGTAAAGTAAACCGATTAGAGTGCTTTTTTCATCCGCATTAACAGGACGACCACCCGTATTCTCTTGACATTTGCAATTTGCCGCTATATCTAATTCCTGTTTCAGGGCCTGGAGTTTGTAAACTGCCATGGAGGTTAGAATCAAAAGGGATACCGCTGAGAAAATCGTGGTAACTACACATACAGAATATTTAGCCGTACGACAAAGGGTCCGCCACTTTTAGGTGATAGCAGACAAGAGTAGGGTAAACGTTAGCGGCTTTGAAATGAGGCCGGAATAAAGATCGGTTATTGTCAAAGTGCGAAGCAGAAGTTTTGATGGCGGATGGAGGGATGTGTCCTTTTCAAGGGCGACTAAAATCAAAAGATTTTCCAGAGTCGGTTATATGGAAAGAATAAAGGGGTAAGTTTCTAAAGAAACTGTGGTGCTGCGTCTGTGGGAGAGTATAGCAGGTAAGTTAGTGTTAACAACTGGGTTGAAGACGTAAATTAGCCACCGTAAAGAGTAAAAAAGCTGACTTTTCGAGCGTTAGCCCTTCGTCAGAGCGATTGGAAGATATATGGAAAGAACCACTTACGAGACGGCAGGAGATGTGCAAAACCAAGGGAGAAAATTTTGTCCATCCCAATGTCGACTGCAAAACAGATTAGACCCTGCTGCGATTTAGCTATTTAGATTCAACAGCATTTGTCAGATACCTCTAATACAAATCCTAACGAACACTGGGTTAAATCGCCTCACGCTTTTCCTATGCCAGCTATTAAATAGTGTCGACTCTGCTGTTCAGCTACAGTTCAAAATTCTTGAGTGAAGGGTCAGGTGTGGCTTTTAAATAGCGGTCTGTCAGAAACACAAGGAATTTTGTAAAGCACATTCACCCTTAAAGCTTTTTCGGCAACACTTTTATCTCGTTATATATAAGCCCTAGAAAATATAGCATTTTAAGAGCCGGAAGGGGGGCACCTTTGAACATTGAGCTTTTACGTCTACAACATTTAATATCCCATTTTCTTAACAGGGTGGGCAACAAAAAAAAGGAAAGTAAGGAGGATTAACACGAAACTGAATCGCAAATTTCTGAGTTTCGTGGGTCGCTGCTTTATCACTCAGCTATAGAACAATCTTTAGCGCACTACACATACTTGGTTCATCTTGTTCATTGTTCCCGCTGGTGCCGCCAAAAGCAGCTTTTTTCCCAAAACTTTGCGCATCTCAAGTGGTACTTTGCTAATGGCTTTTAAATGTTTTACTGGAAATGTTATTCACTCCCCTAGTCCACAGATTAAGATTTAGGCCAAACTTTCGTAACTACGATTGTTATATAGATATCTAAATAAGTGAAAAGTTAAACACGCACGCTGAATATACCATTTATGTCTTCAATTTGCAGGTAACAGTCGTCATGGTAAATGGGCTTATCAAATCGGCCAATTA